TCTAGAGCAGAAACTGACAAAAAAATAGATGAGCTCAGGACCATGATAGAAGCCATGAAGGCCCAGCATAAGAAAGAAATGGAAAAAATAAACGCCCAACATAGGAAAGAAATGGAATCCATAAAACAGATTCAAACAGATATCCAGGAGATTAAACACTCTATTGAAAGTGTACGCAACAGAATAAAAGAATGCGAAGATAGGCTCTCAGATATAGAAGATAAGATTGCAGTCAGTGACCATGAAAAGAGAGGTCTCTTAAAAACAGTAAGAGATCATGAGAAATCGATCCAACAACTCCTAGATGATGCAAAGAAGAATAACATAAGACTGATAGGAATACATGAAGTAGCAGGAGAAAATACAAATGACTTAAAAAAGCTGTTTGCAGAATTAATGACAGAAAACTTCCCAAACAGAGGGGAAGAATTTGACATTCAGATAACTGAGGCATATAGGACCCCAACTAGCTACAATCAAAAAAAATCTACACCTAGACATATAATAATCAAGATCCCAGAAACCCAACAGAAGAACAAAATACTACAAGCAGTAAGAGAAAAGAAACAAATCACATACAAAGGAAAGCCCATCAGAATCACAGCAGACTTTTCAACACAAACCCTTGGGGCAAGGAGAGCCTGGAATGAGATATTTCAAGTACTAAAAGAGAACAACCTCCAACCTAGACTGATGTATCCAGCAAAACTCTCTTTCAAAATGGAGGGGGAAATAAGACACTTCCACGACAAAGAACACCTGAGAAACTACATGAATACCAAACCAGCACTACAAGGAATTCTAAACAAGATCCTAGAAGAAGACAATGAAGGCAACAACACCATAAGGCCCAACAGAGCAAATCAAATAGGCAAGGCAAGAAATTAAAAGGAGAAGGTGAAAAAGTAAAAAAAAGAGTCAACAAAAGGCCAATAACATGTCAATAATAAGTCAGTACATATCAGTTATAACCAGCAATGTCAATGGCCTCAACTCACCAATCAAGAGAAATAGACTGGCAAAATGGAATAAGAAGCAAAATCCAATAATATGTTGTATACAAGAAACACACCTAGTGGAAAAAGAAGCCAAGGCAAAAAGAATTCAAGGCAAAACAAACACACCCATATACAAACCAAAAAAATTCCCAGAGTAGTCTTCCCTTTTCAAAACAATACTCATACTGTCTCCTGGTTGGATTGCTCTGTCGAAGCTGATTGATACAGCATTCAAAACAGGAAACAATCTGATGAGTGTCATGTTCTGCAAAGGATTTTTGAAGAGTTGAAAGAATGAGTCTACAGATGCTACTTGAGTTTGAAAAGGAAAACATCATGATTAACCCAAAGAAGTGAAAAATAAAATGTATTGAAAATGTACAAAACATACCCGATTAATCAAACATCATTGTCAAGTCTTGGACCCTTTAAACCTGCTCAAAACACTTGCCTTGATCAGTGTTTGGGGAAAAACACGTTATGCAATACAAAATTCATAATAAAATACTGAATATCACATGAACATAAAATACAGTCCACTGTAAGTCACTGGCTGTTCACTTTTGGTGTCCAGGTGCTGACAGAGCAGTGACTCTTTACTGCGGTCCAACATCATGAGCAAGTACTGTACCATGTAACACTAGTGAGAAAAGTAAATACATTACAAAACTGAAAGGCTTCCACTAAATAATTTTTATTTTTTGCTTCAGTACTAAAGATTTAACTTAGTACCTCATGCACGTTAGATGACTTAGATTGGAGGTACTTTCCAACATATTTATTTCATACTGAAACAGGATCTTGTTCAGTTGTCCAGGCTGGGCTAGATGTTGCAATACTCCTGTCTCAGCCTCCCATGTGGCTGGGATTAAAGGTATGCAACACCATGCCTCACTGATGTTTACCTTACCCAACTACTGAAATCTCTGTACATCACTGTGATTAAAGAACCCTGATCTTGAACTGGCAAAATGTCACATGCCTGTCATCTCAACAGTGAAGGAGGTGGAAACAGTATCAAAAGTTCTCCCAAGCCTGGACAATTTAATAAGACCAGGTGGGAAGAAAAAAATTTCTAAGGAGGGAAGGCAGGTGTGGCTTGGAGCAGACTTCCTGAGTTCAGTCCCCGTATAATAAAAAACACCAAGCACTCTTTGAAATCTTTTGTATCCAAGAGAAAACCCTTCTCATTCTACTTTTCTTTCATTATACTTCAATGATAACACCCACCCTATTTTTACTTATTAAAAATTTATTTTTTATTTTTATTTTTTTGAGACAGAGTCTCACTATGTAGTTGAGACTGACCTGGAATTCACTATGTAGCCCAGGCTGGCCTCAAACTCACAGCAATCATCCTGCCTCAGCCTCTTGAGTGCTGGGATTACAGGTGTGTGCCACCATGCCTGCCCCACCCTATTTTTAAACCTACAAGACCAGTTTCCTAATTTGTAATTTTGCCAAACAAATAATTAGGTGAACTCTCAGTAGTAGCAGAAGACATAATTTAGAGTATTTGTTACTACAGTTCCCTCTTTTCTTTAGGCCCATGACCTCTGACCCATTCTCAGGCCAGGGCAGTGCATGATCCTTCCACTACTGTCACATTAAGAACAATCTAACCATGGGAAGAAATTCAGTTATAGTTCCTAATTTCACCTCCCTCCAACAAGCCCTGCTCAACCATTTCCTTTTACTCCCCTTTGCTCCTCCCTATTGAAAAAAAACCTTTATTCCTCTTCTTCATGTGCCTGTAGACCTTAACTATGGGGATTTACCTCTACTTTATACAAAGTGCACTTCAAATAACATTTCAAATTTAAAATGTGTAGAAACAGTCCAACAACTACAGCAATTATTTCAGAGATGAGAGCCCCATTTCCCTTTCCACTACTCTAAATATCACACGTCCATGTCCACGCAGATGCCCTAATTCAATGTGTTTCTCAATTTGGGTTTAATAGGCAGCCCCTTCAGAAAGATGTCTTTAGCATGAATTCTTTCCCTTCCCTTCCTTAGTAATCCATTAACATCCCCTCCTTTTTTCTCAGTGCTATAAACTTTCTTGAAGGCCTGATTTAAATAGTCTAACTGGAAAGAATATTTTATTTAGGGCCAGGGATGTGGCATAGTGGTGCCACACCTGCCTGGCAAGTGCAAGGTCCTGAGTTTGATCCCTGGTACTGCCAGGAAAAACAAAACAAAACAAAAAAACAGAATATTTTACTTAGTTACCTTATGTGTGAGGCACCTAGCTATGGAAAACGGCCTGAGATAGAGTCAGGAAATAAGCCATACTGATAAAACTAAAATAAGAATAGTGAACTACAGACATTGGACTAACTCATCTCCTCAGACAACATGGAATGCAGCCACTCCCTACTGAACTCCTGAGTTTCCAGAATTTAAAGTGCAAAATAACCAGTTTTTCTCTACAATCTCAGATTTCTATAAAACTTACACAATAAGAAAAAAGGTTTAAGAGCCTGAGTTCCAAATGGTCATTTTAAATGCAAAGTCATCTATGATAGGTGGCTATTAAACAATTGAGCAATTACTGTGCTCCATTATCGATCTATAATTAACTCTGGATTGAGCAGACACCTGGCCACTCAGGATGCTTCCAAGAAATCAGGGAGCTATTCTTAATTCCAATAAAGTCTCCTAACATCCTCTTTCTGGTTCGTGACATCATTCCCTTATGTTGTGAGACTATTGCGGGTGGAGACGTCCCTGCAGTCCCAGGCCTGACCCTCCTGATGACGCAGAAGGTTGTGGAAGAGTCAGAGACCAAAAGTGTAGAAGCACAGTTGTACTTTTATTCAGCAAGCATGCAAGAGTACAGCTGCCTTCTCTCAGTGACAGGCTGGGTGCCCAAGAGGGAGACACCGCTGAAGGGGGCTCAAGATGTTTTATAGTAGTGGGGGGGGGCTGTCCTGTCTCTGGGCTGAGGGCATCTTTACTTAATTGGTTAATGATTGACTTGGCTTGTTACTAGGGGCAACAGGGAAGGGTCTTTGGGGGCCTTTTGCAACTTAGGGTCAAGATCTTTCTTTTTGATCTTAGCAAACCAAGTTTTTCAGGGTGAGCTTTGCAGGGTACAGCATAAAGAAAATACAACCACAGACTGTCAGCTTTTCACGGGTGGCTAAGCTTGTTCTGCCAACTATCTGAACTGCTGGGGAGGGGTCCCCTCATATTTCCCTGTCTACTGGTCTCTATCCCGACAAGACCACGAGCTCTATTCTTTTTTCTTTTCTTTATTTTGTACTGGGAATCGAACTCAGGACCTTGTGCTTGTAAGGCAGGTGGCTGCACCACTGAGTTAAGTCCCTGGTCCATGAGGTCTGTTCTTTATCACTGTGAATACAGGTCTGACATAAAACAATTAAGGTGATTTTTGGGGGGGTTGCTGAGAGTGAAATGGGGGATTTCAGTGCCTGCTTGGCAAGCACTCCACCCGAATCACATCACTAGCAATGGATTCTTAGAGCACTTATTAACACCTATTATGACTTTGGTAACATGGGGAAACATTGAGAATTTAGGAATTCACTATGAATATAAAAAGGCAAAGATCTGAGGAGATTAGTTATGGGTATGAGACCTTACATCACAAACATTTGTAAATGTCAGGTCTTCCAGGTGTGCTACTAAGAGGAATGAGACCAGGGACCTAGCACATCACAGCTGCATGCAGCTCCAAATCAAACTTGAATCAGGGTCTCTCCAACTGGTCCCCTGGCTCTCCCCACGGTGGTGTAGACGAGGCTGTGCCCGGGGCTACTCAAAACAGCACTGTGGGCTGGGAGTGGCACAGAGGGGACAGGATGCAGAGAACCTGGAACTAACTCTCACCCTGTACAGGGAAAAAGACCCGGAGAACCTCAGAGTCTGGAGGTAAACGGGGAGGCTGAAATTCCCCATAGCAGGCTCTGGCCGCTTCCTTTCAGATATACTCCCGATTCCATCCCATCCCCGCTTTCTCTCCCACAACATCACCATTGTGTGGATTCAGGGTCTCCCAGAGTTCCATGCAGCGTGCAGCCAGTAAGTCACACAAGGTGGCCCAGCAAGCAGAGTGGGTCTCAGCAATGTGCTCAGGACGCTCAGTTTGGCGCCATGACACCAGAAGTTCCCTCCATATGGAGCCACCTGATTGGACAGTTCATACAGCCCGCCTCTTTATGGCTGATTGGCTCCTTTTCCATTGACCAGCCTCTCAGCCCAGAGTGAGAAGAGACATAAACTGCGTGCATGAATAGAGCTCAAATGATAGAGCCAGGAACTTCTGGGCCAGGCACTTTCCCACGATGTCAACCTCACCTCGCCTAACAACTGTATTTACGCAGTTTACTCTTAGCTTTCCAGAGCTGCCTCTGTTTTCTTAACGGACCTAGTGGTCTCTTTCTGAAAATGGAGTCACTTGTGTGCTCAGAAGTTCTATGGTCAGTGTCTTATGGAAGAATCGCTCTCCTAATGTAAGAAAGCATCACTAGTGCAGGGGAGGACAGGACAAAATGGAATGGACAGAGGGCTGGCTGTTTGGTCATATTAGGGATGAGTCAGCAGGCTTCATGGTCACATTTTTGCACTATATCAGTCTATCATTTTCAACCAAGAAAATGAATGTGTCCCCAAATGAACACAGTTATTGTATAAATGAAGAAATTAGAGTTAAATGATAGCAATATTCTGCAAAAGAGTAAAGATGAAAGAAAAGCAAACATTCCAACTCCCTTAGGCAAGCTTCATACATCAGAAAGGGTTGACGACCTTTAATTATGAGATCCCATAAAGCACATATATAAGATGAATGGCACAATAAGAGGCCTTTTCCATGCTCATAGAATGATTTTCATCTTTATCACTCCTACTTTTTTTCTTTTGAGGATCTGCAGTCCCAGAACAATAAGCAAAAATTACGTAAAGGGGAGAACAAGTGTATTTAAGAGACAGTTCAAGCAGTCACGAAAGGAAATGTATAGAATCTTCATGGTGTGATGGCAAGTTTCAACCTCAGAGTCAGCCCAGTGCAATATACTTCCAAATGCAATTCCACTGCCCTCTTCCCTTTTCTTTTCCAAATGTGGTCATGGATTTCAACAGGCCCTGACTATTTGCTTACCTCTTATTCCTGACTGCTTTCAGACCCAATCCATTGAGTTTTATATCCTTGAAATAATATACCTTGGCCTTATTTCTTTTCACTCTTACCCAGCCCTTTAGAGTGATGTGTTCTCATTGCACTGTAGAGTGAAATTTTGTACTCATCAATCTCCTTCTCTATCAAAATCAACAAAACCCATGAGATTTTATGGAACATTTCTTACTTCTGTGGCCCTTCTGCATATGTATTGCTTGGTTTTAAATATGTGTGCTGAATATAAGAATTGTTCCTCTCACAACAGTATCAAAGCTTTAAGCTGGCATCCAACCTGTAATCATACACCACATGCAGGACCTTGCCTGCATATTAGATTCCTGAATCATCACAAGGATCTTCTGAGGCACGTTCTATTGGCCATGGTTTTCTTGATGAAGCAGATGAAGGTAGAGAAATTGAATAGTGTCACAAGTCCTCATAGTTATTGGTAGACTAAAATGTATGTTTGTCTCCAATAGGGTATTCAGTATTTGCAGTGGACTGTCTACTCCACGTGGAGATTTAATTCTTTAATATATTATTCTTCCCTAAATGGTTTCTGTGCACTCAATTTCAACCTGCTATCATGTTCCCACTGCCGAGGTGGTTGCTTTCTGAGACATCTTGAATGAGAATAATTGCTTTCTTCAGCTCAAGAGTATGTGTTCTCCAGTCTATTAACCATTTCCATGTGAGAATGCTACACATAGAAAAATTAATAAAGAAACAAGATATACTTTTTACAAACTCTTTACAAATTTTGAGGCTGGAAAGTCTAGGAGCATGGCACAAAAAAATCTAGTAAAACTCTATGTTTTTGACACATTATTGAATGCCAAGTAACAAGTGAGCAGTATTTATATAAGAAGTCTTTCACTCATAAATCCCCCACTTTCATATTAATAACAGCATCCTGTTCATTAGAGCAAAACTCTTATATGCCCATAACCTTATAAGGATCCCTTACCTCAACTCTGTATCACTATTCAGTTCCAGAAATACGAAGTGTACAGGGTATACTGAATTTCACACTGGTTTACTGATTTGGAATCTGACTTCAGCTGGGAAGAAGTTCAGAGTACATGGATGTCTACAGTTATCCTTGAATCTCCATGCCTCCAGACACAGAAACCTCAGTGGCCAGTCTGCATTTATTGCTTTATTGTAGGTGACCTAAGTAGGATCCAATCTTTTGTCATGCATCATATGTATTTATTTAATATAAATATTCCTCATTACATCATACATAAAAACTATTCATAACAATGAAAAAATGGCTGCCAAAAGATCCAAGTTACACTGCATAGAAGTGTTTTATGCACTATCGAAAGGTCTTGGCTACTGAGTGACTCTGCAGAGCTTTAAAAACTCTGAAGTGTACTTTCATGAGATGTGACTAGTGTAATGGTCAGCCTGACTCTATCTTGTGTGTCAAGGCCAGTTTGTACCTGCACTAGAACAAAGTGCTTGAACAAAGCTCCCCTAACCCCCACATCCTGCTTGGCAGTAAATTTGCAATAGTTGCTGGATGTTTTGTAGCTCACCTTGTGACTCCCAGTAACCTGGCATGGTTCTGCTTTTGTAAGATTCCACTAGCTCTCCCCTGAGCCCTCCCCACCTGAAAGTATGATTTAAAAGGAGAAATCAAACTGCTTCTCATTGCTAAGGAAATTTCTGAGTGCTAGCTACCTCAGCTGCAGGCTATATAATAAAAGGGCTTGAATTTGGCATGAAGAGTGGCACATTTCTATTGTTCAAACTCATCCATCCATAGCAAAGAGAATGCAATATCAGCTGGGTTTATTGCAGCATCTTTATTAAGACTTCAGTAGATATACAATTTTTATACAATAATGCTTCAGAAAGTGTAACATCATGTAAAATATAATTGGGAAGACAAGGACTGGACTCAGTTCTATGACTCTTAAACATATCTCTCAGTACTCTTTTTACTGAAGCATTTGTCTAATTTTACTCTCCTCTGCCCCTTTTTTATCTTTCTCAGGCTAATTTCCCATGACTCTTGAATCTCTCCTCTGTGGTCTGGTCTTTCTCTTTTTCTCTATTTTTTTACCAGAAAAAATTATTTGCTTTTGGTTTTATCATGCCCACAGTCTACTCCCATCTTCATTATAGCCTCTATTATGAGGTATTTTGGAATATGTTCATCTGCCTTTGCACTGAAATATCAAAAATTATGGAAATAATCTGGCCATTTCTGTCACCCGTGAATGCTTTCTAAGGCCCTAGCCCAGGGAATATTGTAAAATAAATGCTAGACTGCTGTATCAAATCAATACAAATGTACAATACTGGAGAGAAAATTGGTTTTGCTTGATAAAGCAATGGCATAAAACAGGCTATATAGTCAGTGTGCATCCTTCTTTAACGTGTTCACATCCTGAATATTCTACAATATGAAAACCGAGGCACAGCAAAAATGTCACTGTCCAAATGCACCAAGCTGTCTCCAGACTCATGCTGATGTCCATAGCTGAGAACACTGTGGAACACAGACAAGAAAAACCCCACACAGTTCTGCCAAATCAGAGGTTCTGTCAAGGAAGAGGTGAGGACTGGGCTTTACTTTATTTATTTATTTTTAAATAATTTTTTATTTTTTTGGTACTGGGGATTGAACTTGGGTCCTTGCGCTTGCAAGGTAGGCCACTGAACTGCTGAGCTAAATCCCCGGCCCAGGGCTTTACTTTAAAGGCACCTGTGTCTAATCATTTACTTTTAATTTGTTTTTCTTTGAGGCGGGATCTTGCTATGTAGCCCAGGCTGGCCTCAAACTCATAGCAATCCTCCTGCCTCATCCTCCCAAGGATTACAGGCCTGTGTCACCATGTCAGCCTTTAGGGTGTAGTACCTTATACATAGTAAATGCCTTCAAATGTTAGCTGACTAGATTGGTAATACCAGTATTTTCCCTTTTGCTATTCAAGGATTTCAAGGCCAGTTGGTTTATTTAGAAGATAATTGGAGAAGAAAATTATACAACTTTTTCTATACACAGCATAATGACCAAATTTACCAATTAAGGAATTGTTTCAAGAATTGTTGGAAAGTGAATTAGTCTGTAGTAACTATGCTTCCATTGCCTGCAGTAAGTTCAGGAACCATCCACTTCCTCTTCTGAACATCTGGTTTGGTGCACTTGTTTGATGAATATTCAGTGAAACACTTGCATACAAGGTCTTGCCCTAAGGTCAGATCTCTGTGTTTACCTTGGAATGTTTCTGAAGATGTTCTTCTACTCCTTCTTTTAACACCACACACTTCTATGTTTGGATCTCCAATGCACTGATAGATAAAGCCAACACGGAAGCCTTTGCTTTAGAAGATATGATTCTGCAGTGACATGTCTTAAATTGGGCTTCTAGTTTTTCAAAACTTAGACTATTTTTCCTTTCAAATAGCAAGTTCTCTTGAATGAGTGAAGAATATAGTTGTAGAAATTGAAAGGCAGTGGTAGCTTTGACTTTCCAAAACAACTTCTCCAATACAATCTTTTCCATTTGCATCAATTCTGAAACCACGAACCTATACTGACTTATTCAAATCAAGTCAGTTACCAATGGGACATTTCTTTCCTCTTCTATTGATTTTACAGCCAAATACAAGCATTTCAGTCCAACACACCCCAGGTGCTTGGGCTGTACTTTCATTTTAGACAGAAATCTGTCCACAGCCAGAGAAAATGTCTCCATATCAAAGCCAAAGAACTGAGTTAGACTAAGAAGATCTTTCACTTCAAATCCCTCAGTCTTGCAGTCACTTTAAGGCCATTACCATGTGCAGATTCAATTAGTCCCAAGCCATAGACTGTTGGCTGACCTCTAGCCTCCTCTTCTAGAAGGTTATTCAGCTGGTGTCACAGTTTCTGGGAGTCAGATGTTGTCAATACTTCTATCATCTTGGTAGAGACTGTGGCTCCTTGGTGTGATCACCCTCCCTGCTTTCACATTGCCTCATGATATTGAATACGAGAGGTGTAGGAGGTGAGGACACTGAGGACAGGAGAGGAAAGGCCTGGGG